AAAAAAAGAAGGAAAAAAAGAACTGATTAAAAAAGGGTAAAGGATGGGAGGGAGGAGACAATGCCTAATTTTTCCCTTTGTTTTTCGCCATCCTCTGTTGGCGGATTATAGCACCAAAAAAAAAAAAGTTGTTGTTTGACGTATTCTGGGTACTTCTAATTCGAATAAAGCTATAGAATCAGTTTTTCTTCACACCTTGACAAAACAGCAAATTATGCAACCTTCAACACCACGGACACTTGTAAAATCCTTCGCCGTCCTACACGGCTTTCGTGCAACGGTTACTAAATGCAACAAACTCTATAAAGTCAAGGTTACTGAAAGTATGCATACGTTCCTGAAAATGTGAAAATCAGCAGACATCTTCATCAGTCAATGGTCGAAAAAAAAGACAGAGTTGACCATATTTTTGAAACCAAATTAGTATCAGTGTTTCCCGAATAAGTGGTAATTGTTTGATTATCGTGCGAGAAAACATAAACAGAATCACATGGAAAATAGGGATGCAAAAGGAAGTCAAGCAACTCACTGTGTATCATACGATCATTTTTAAAAAAGTAATAATGACTAAATGACTAAACAGATGAATGGCCAAATGACTTTGTGATAACTAAACAAACATCTTTTAACACCTCTTTTTGGCGTTGTGTTACATCAGTAGTTTTTTTTTGTGGTGAAAAATGGGCAAATTGATCTATAAATAGAACAAACCATAATATATAAGTATTTTTAAGTTTTTATGTAGTCTTAACTGAGGAGTTTTATTTTTTTTCTGAAGAAAAAAAATTTTTTTTTAATTTCTATTACTTTGTTAATGGACTGCTTTATTTGGTTTTCATCTACTGACTCTTCGTAAATGGTTGAGAAACAGAAGTTGAAACTTTGCTAATCTTTTTTTTTGCTGCTGCATTTTTTGCTTCAAAAACTAATGTGACTAGTAAAAGAAAAAAAATTTTTGTCGAGTGATAATTTTAGAAAGTTAGTCTGTAAAACAAACAAGGTTTTTCTTTTTTTTTCTTTCGTCAACTTCTCAGCCAAACTCGTGTTCGTGATTTGTAAACAAGTTTTCATTTTTTGCTGGTGCAATAAAGAAAAGATAATTGATAGTTTTGGCCAATTATGTTTATCAGAAACAGTGCTTTCTAAGTGATAAGAAGCAGGGATTGTCAAATGTGTTCAGCGGTATATTCACTTGTCAAGTGTTGAACGGAAATAAACCGTTTGTGTTAATAAAAAAAGGTTTTCGAAGACTACTATTCATTCTAAAATTTGAACATCTGAAAGAAACTCTCTTAACAGCAACAGTTAATATGAGATTTTGGAGTGGAAAAGTCAGTAATCAACAGAAACCAGTCCAAGACGCAGTTGGTTATATGTACTGCTGTTACTATCATTATTATTGCTGATATTAGTATCAGTATCAGTAACATGATATAACTGACGAATAACATTTTGCAAATAAGAGTTTATTGAAAAATACAAATATTTTTTAATGGAACATTAATCGGAGCTGTTCAAAGTCAAACATGAATAGAAGAACTATTAGTATGATTGTATGACACAAGATAATATAAGCAGCAATCTTTTTTTTGTTGGAATCATATCATTAAATTTCAGATTACTTGCATCTTATGTTAAATACTTAAAAAAAATTTCACAATTTTTAACTTCATGGTCTCTCAATGTTTTATTTGTTAAAATGCTTACAGGCTACTTATTTGCCAAAATGCAGTTGCCTTTTATCAAACCATTTGAAATGGCGATACCATTACTTCAGTTTTACTAAACTTTACACTCAAAAAGGTGCTAACCTTGAAACAAAATAGATAAATTTGATAAATTGATGTATTCGGCTTACAAAACTCAAACGTTTCAAAGAACAGAATGAATGGCTTGTCGAGCACATAAAAATAATGGTCATATTTTTTTTCAAGTTATCAATGAACAAATAAAATTCATCGAACTTGTCGCTAACCGTTACGCTACATTAAATTGACTTAAAAAACCACTTTTTTTGTTTGCCAACGCTGAACACTAAATAAATTTTCTAGAAACTTAATCTGAGAATTTCCAGTAACTACCAGCATTCAATTTGAGAATGCTAAAGTAACGTCAACTATTTGAAAAACCCGTATGCGGTAAATGTGTTTCTGCCGTTTTTAGTTTACACTAATTAGTGCGATCAAATATGAAGATCTGTGTTCAACATACTTAACAGCTTTGGACTGCACTGACGTTGCAGAGATTGAAACCGTCATCGATATCATCATCGTCATTGTCCGATAAGTTTTCTTCATTCAGCAAGCCAAGCTTACGCTTTTGGTGCTTATAACGATCGCGAAAGAAAATAGAACATCGATACAATACATAGGTAAACCACGCCTTAAAAATTTTTATAATCACTTAAGAAAGGGTGCAAAATGTAGACTATATTTATCTGCAAACAGAACCAAAAAATATACAGATCAGATTTTGCCAATTTAAGTGAATACAGTTGAAAAAAAAAAACATTTTAACTTACTGAAAAAATTACGTATAATGAGATGAGAATTACATAGCTTAACCATCGTACTGAACTTGGAGATATTGGCCAAGAATCTGACATATTCAGGTCACCAACTAACATGATGATTGTTGAGATGTCTGCATATGCTCCAAATGTCAACTAAAACAAGATTGCAAGAAAAAAATTTTTTTTCAAAAAGTGAAAGTGTGAAAAAACTTGTATTGGCTTCTTTCATCTTCTAAAAGTATAGACTCTTTTGGTGAAATTCAGTGCTAAATAATAGACATTTTAATCAATCAGTAACTACTGATGCAATGGATGAAAATGCATATGCATAAAACAGATTAAATTATGAGGGCACATTCAGAAAGCCATAAGTGTATTTCACCAACATTGCTGCAAATTTAAAATCTGACAAAAAATGATTTTTATGCAAAAAAATTGTGAATTTTCAAACCTTTTTGTGTGCCAATTGTACTGTTTAAACGAAGTAAATATAAAACTAAAAAGGTTTGGTGCTTACTGGGAAAACCGGGGGAGATTCTGAGCATAAAGCAGCAGAAACAATTTAAACAACTAACCTACAAATTGTGTTTTATGCATAACTGACTGATAGAAAAGTAGCTGACTGTTATATTAGCATTTACCTGTGAAGTGGCAAACGGAAGTATGTATTCCCATCGTTGTTTCCATAAAGCAAAATACATAACACCGGAAAAACAAAGTTGTATCAGGCGTGATATAAATACTGTTATATAATGCAGCCCAAGACTACGATATACCATTTCGTTCCTTGACAAAAGATGCAGCATACCCAAAATAAAAGACAAACAAAAAATAAAGACAAAGGTCACATAAATTTTTTTAATGCTGTTAAGATGTTGAATTAGAGTGATTTTTCATATATAAATCATTTTTCAGAGCCTTTTTTCACTTCTTCTTCCTTAGATTTATGCTTGAAGCTATGCTATATTCAGATATTTCCTAATAAAAGTTGAAAAGTAAAAACAAAAAAAGAAAAGCAAAAATAAATAAATAAAAGATAAAATAAAATAACAAGAATAAAAGAAAAACACAAGTGGCGAAACAGAGAAAATTTAACTTCAAACAATAAATTGAATTTTTTTCTGCTGTTTTTTCAAAATTCTCATATAAAAAAATGCCGTTGATTTGACAGTTATCAGTTTACTTACCAATTATAATTTCATGAAACACCAGTGTTACCAGAACAAATGTTCCCATCTTCGTGTGAAGTGCTGAGAAGCAACACCGATAATGCTCCGGATCAAAATAATGTGTACGTCCATCGGCATCGATGTATACTTCAGCAATCTAAATTTTTGCTCAACCACTACAATCTGCTTCGTTTTGTGGCACTCAAATTTGAATAAAGGTGAATGAATAAAGAAGGACAAAATAGGCAATGATCAAAAAAGTAAACCTGCATATCCTGTTCGCATTCCTCAAACCCTCCTTCGTCAGCATTATCGATATAATTCTTGCTTTTAGAAGTGTTACTCATTCTGCTTCTGGTATGACCATTAAACAGTTGATATCTTTAACTCAAAAAATAATAGTAACAGTGATAATAGCAAAAATAAAAAAGAATAAGCAATTAAATGAGCTAGCAAGCAAAGAAGCCGTACAGACTATATTCTTGTCAAGAACAAAATGTCTTTCTGTTAATCATAAATAAAATTTTCAGTAGTTGTCGGCTAATACAACTTATTGGCAAAAATCACCTACTGTCAGTAAAAATCTGCTCAAATATTAATGCGTCTGTACAGTTGTCTCTTCAAAGTCACTTAAAAACAGAGAGATGTTAAGCAAGCAAAAGCGTTTAAAAAAAATTTTTTTAACGCAACCTTTGTGGCCAAACACTTTTTCTGTATTCCTTTCTTCTAATTTCCTAAGAAATCTATTAATCAGCAGTTTAAATACATTTATATCAGAAGTTTACTTCAGTTTTTCAGTTCTTTAGATATACCATAAGACAAATTGTGATAAAAATTTTTACTTAAAATCAAAAAACAAGTTATTGCTTTAAACGTTATTTTAAAAATTTGGCTCTTTTATCAAAAATTAGATTGGAACAACTGTTGAAGAGATGAATTAACAGCGCAAATAAACAGCATAAAATTACCCTCCGATACTAACGGTTATTTTCAACAACTAGGCGACAAGTGTTACATTTATATTTATATTTATATTTATATTTATATTTATATATTTATATTTATATTTATATTTATATTTATATTTAAATTATATGCTCATTTTCATTTATACCCACATACATATTTTTTTACAGTCTTTTAAAATTTATTGAAGTATTAGGCTTTACTAAGTCATCACTGTGTTCAGCAAAAAATTGTCTTTGATAAATTAACAAAAAGCATATTACCTTTCTTTGCTTCTCACTACACCACTGTTTTGTTCGTTTACTGTTACATACCCTTCTGAAGTTTCCTGTTTAAAATGCATAAACGCGATGTTTTAATGAACTCTCTTTGTTGAAATCAAAAAGGAAGTAGTGCTGCTGTTGCTGCAAGATCTATGAACTTTTTGGGGAGTCTTCTGTGACGTTTTGAACTGTGGAGCCTTGGTTTGCAAAGTTTGAAAGTAAAGATAATTTGCTGAAAAATGGACATGGGTGTAGTGTATCGTCGCTTCCTAATAGCCAAGAATTAATGGCTACTGTTAATTCGGAAATGATTACCCTAACCTTAACTTCAATAACTAGACCTTTATGCCGAGCAGTCAGTCAGCAGTTGTTTGCATTAAAAGAAGCGAGAGGATAAAAAATAGATGTGTTATAAGTTTGTAGGATTAAAATAAAACTTTTTTAATAGAGTAGAGCACTTTTTTAGTAATTTAAAACAAATTTTTTCTTGAACTGGATTTTATTTGTGACTGAAAGTAAGTTTTGTAGGAAAACCGTAAGCAGATCAGAAAGTAGAGCAAGTGTAATCAGATCATTATCACTCTAAATCAATAATGCAGGTTTTATAGAATGATCTTGAAGCTATTCACACAAATGTTCAGACTGGTGGTGAACTATTACTGCAGAAATATGCTGCTCAGAATTAGAGAACAAAATAAAAGTTTATAGAATCATACTTTAGGTTTACGGAGAAAGGAGATACGTTGTTACTGTTTGATAACGCCAGATTCTATGTTTCATCGTCGTAAAGAAACTTAAGAAACTGAGATAGGAAGTTTTGCGGCAATAACTTTACTCATTACAAATTTTCTTCACCGAATATATCTGCTCTGAAGCATTTGGCCATTCGTCTATGGCAAAAACTACTATAATTCAAAACTTGTAGAAACACTCTATAGCAGTTTTTTGATCAAAGTTCAAAAATTTTTTAGTTACTGAAATGCTAAAACTGATATCGCGTTGAAAACTGCGCTGTAATTCTTGTGGTCTTTAATTCGGCGAGTAATTTTCCAGTATGCAAAAAGTTATAGACTATCAAAGTATCAATTCTTGAACCAGCTTCGTATATAAATGAAAATATATAAATATAAGTAGAAATATAAATATAAATATAACTAAATTAAAATATATATATA